CACCTCTTTTCTATGCAGATGCTTTCTGTGTGGATCTTGCCCTCACCAGCCCCTCCACCTTGTCAATGTGGGATTCCAGCTAAAGTGTGAGAGGAGGTAAGTGTGTTTCAGAAGTTAACATTTTCCTATAACAAAAATGTATTTCTGATAATACTTACCTCCTCTAACACTCTCCACTCTCCCACCCTTTCTCTCCAAGAAATGGACAGTTTTGGGTCTGCTAATTTGGATTTTCTTGTAAAGTAAATAGGTAATAATTAGGAGGAGCTTATGTAAGGACCTGGGATATGGGGTGCATTGATGTATGGGCAATAAAGTGGGGGTATAAAAATTGAAGCAAGTGAGCCAAGATTCATATCAATGCTCGGATGAGCGGAGAAGAGAAACTTTTGCCCGGATAAAGCTAAAGTATTGGTATAGGAAAATGTTAACTTTGAGTAATTAGTTATATTCTGGTAAAATCATGCATTTCAATTAACATTTTTTACTCATCAATAAAATAATTAGAAGTAGATCCAGACTGATAAGTCAGTTTGAGTATTGCCCTACTAGAGGTTTTCTAGGTGAGTGATGATATAAATATTTGCTTGAAACTAACATGACTAGAATGGAAATTTCAGTACAATTCATGTACAAACAGATAAATGATGACAATTTGCTCAATTCTTTTTTGAGAAAATATTAAGAGATAATTAAATATTTAAAGTAATTTTTGGCTTGCATCATTAAAATAAAATCACATTACACTATTCTTTCCTAGATATTTTAGGCAAAGTATTCATAATGGGGAGCTTGTTTTTTCTAAAAGAGGAACTTGCCATCCATTTCAGTGTACTCATCACATTACATTATTTTTTGTCATTCTTATAAACTTATGTGAATCTACTTGTTAGGTCTGGTACAAGTTGTTTATTGACTTATATGAAGAGAGTTATTTTTTAACATGCAGTTTTACTTTGGATTTACATCAAATGCAACAATCTCAAGGATAAATAATAATATGATAATAATAAAACTTGCACCAAAATCTGACTTTAGATGACCTAAATAAAATTGAGAATAATTACAAATCACTTAATTAATCTATTTCACAACATAACAGTTGTTGTTCATAAAAATTGATGGTATAAATAGCACCTAGATCACTACTATGTTTGTTACATCCCAGTCGACCTGATGAGTCCTAGTATTGGGCAAAAGGCCTCAATGGCACTGGATAGACAGATGTGTTTTACTGTTGGTAAATGTAGTGATTGTAGTGTATATGTTTGCTAGTCTATGTTGTATATGCACTATAACATTAAAAACAGCATTGTAGTGCTGCATTAGATGTGAATTTATCATTACTGATTATTTGACAGTTTAGTAGGAAGCTGATATTATAAAAGCCATATAATGTTTATCTTTGTTATAAAAAATAGCTGCTTAAATATTTAAGTGCAACTATACAAAACATTCTGTAACACAAGTTAAAGCCCTGAATGTTCACTCTTGAAATTTATTAATATCAAAAACTATATTATCTGTATTTCTTCTGTTTTATGTGTTAGTGTAGGCAATTAAGCATTTCGCATGAACATTTCAAATTCATTTCCTTGTAGTTTCTTGGTCATATTTTGTGAGTATTTTATGTAGCTGCTACACTTTATATATATATATATATATATATAAGAAAATAGCATTCTTGACAAAGACTGATGTAATGAAAATGACTGAAACTAGGTTAGATTTGGAGAATATTGATAATTGAAATTATTTTGAAATTCCAGGTTATAAGTTCTCTAATAGTGATAGGCTTATTGAGAGAGCTATTTTATATAAGGGATGAACTGCAGCCTTTTAGGATTGAAGACATAAAAAGTTTTAGTCACTACTTAGAATCCATATGGTCTGGTTACAATCAGGGATTTTAAGGGTTAAAACGTTTTTAACTGGCAGTTATTATAAGCCAAACAAACCAGACATAAGGGGTAAACAGTAATTATATAATGACATCAGGGTTGCTAATATTAAGAACATTGATGCAGTAATCACACAAGCCTGCAAATTTAAATTTCATAAAAGTTGTTTTGGTTTTAATAACAGATTTTCCATAATTCAGCTATGCAGATTTCGAAAATAATATTCAATTTTTTTACCTCATAAGGATTTTTTACAAATCGGGAAGAAAACAAATTAACTCTTACTTAGATCAAATTTCCCACAAATATAACAGAATATGTTTGGGTCGTTTACACAACTTCTTGTTGCAATAGTGACAAATAAATAATATTGAAAAAATAAAATAAAATGTCAAAGTGCACACACAAACAAATACTATCCAGAAATGACATGTCATGCGGCCTGTTAACTGTTTATATACTAGTGGTGTGTTTCTCATGGGTTCTAGAATAATCGATAAGACTCTCACATTGTGATTAGTCTAGAGAAGTCTATAGCCAGAACGTTGTTGTCAACATTTTATGCATATAAAAATCTGACCCAATTTCAATGAAAATGATTCACTTATGTAAAAATACATATGATGTTTTGTGAAAAACATGTATGCGATGGAGAAAAATGGATATTATTTTCAGATTCATCGTACAAGAAATACCATAGACCATGTAAAAATTTCAAGCGAATAAAACCATTGCAGGCTTGTCTTATGGGAGACTTTAATTTTAAACACAATGATTGTATTATAAGGAGTGAAATAATAAGATTCCTTGAAGAAATACAGGATGGTTTTCTATACCAAATTGTGAAAGAGCCAACCAGGGGTGAGGCTATTTTAGATTTTTTGTTAACCAGTAATGAGGATATGAGTTGAAGTAAGGGAATATTTGGAGCAGAGTGATCACTGTATAATTAGTTTTAATATTTTGTTATTCGTTGAAATAAAAATAAACAAATGTCTTAGTTCTTAATTTACAGAAAGCCAAATTTGAGACTATGAAACATAAGACTTATCATTAGTCAACTGGGACAATGAGATACAAGTTGATGTGGGACAGATTTGTGAAAATTTTGAAAATAAATTGCTTTTAATACAAAATAGACATACTTCTAAAAAGAAGAAAGGGCGATAGAAAAGATCAAACCTAATTGTCTGACTAAAGATATAAAAGATAAAATCAGGGATAAATGCCATAAGTTTAAACTGACAGATATAATGGAAGATTTACAGAAGTGTAGGAAGGCTAAGAATTTAGTAAAAATAATAATTTAGAAAATCCATTAGGACTTACTATAAACAGCTAGCTGGCTGATAATGTTAAAACTAACAGCAAGGAATTTTTGAAGGTTGTGAAAGACCCTCAGAGGAAACTGATGGCAAGATTATTGTTGAATACTGTCAGATGGCTGAACCTTTAAATGTTTTTTTTATCCTCTGTTATTGAAAGAGAAGATATTAGCAATATTCTTGAACCTGAACATTCTTTGGAAAATATTGCAATGGACTTGAATCATGTAGATATTAATCCTTTGGAGGTAAATACAAAAACTGCGGGATTAAATGTGGATAAACACCAAAATCAGACAAGGTTTTAAATGAGGTCAAAGACCAGATATGCAAGTCTATCTATCATTTTTAGTGCTTGAAGATTTTAGTGTTGCTTATGTTACTTCTATTTTTAAAGGAGGATAATAAGAGTTGACATGGAAATTACACACCAAGTAGTCTTACTTCTGAAGTAGGAAAAATTTGAGACATACTGATAAAAGAAACTTTGCAAATTCATTTAGTGAAGAATAATATCATAAATGAAAGCCAACATGGATTAACCCAAGGGAAATCTGCCTTACTTTTTTTGTTTTTGAAAGATGAAGAAAAAAGGTGTGAACTTCGGGTATTTAGATTTTCAAAATGCTTTTGGTAAGGTCTCACACAAAAGAGTAGCTAAGAAAGTTACATCAGGAGTTGGGGAAATTGTAGTTAATTGGATTGTAGGATGGTTAGATAGGATAAATCAAACGGTTGTTATTAATGGAGTTCAGTCAAACTATTGTTATTTGTGAAGTACTTCAGGGGTCAGTAGATGGACCTTTATTCATTCTTATTTAGATTAATGACATTGATAGGAGCATAATTAGTAAATTAGTAAAGTTTACTGAAGACATCAAACTTGTGGGTATTTCTAGTTGTATTAAGGATGTTGAGGTATTACAGAATGATTTGAACCAACTGATATATAGTCTTACTGGGTAAATGGTTCAGAGGAATGATATTTCAGGAATAAAAGAGTTATATTAAAGGCATACCATAAGATCTCTTATCTTATTTTCTTTTGAAAAAAAACAGGGAAAAAGGAAGTTGTAATGAAATATACCTTATTATCTGAGAAGTTGATAGGTTAAAGGTCTCTGATTTCTTTGAACTGTATTCTGAAGATAGAAGGGCAAGAGGACATGAGTGTAAGATCTGGAAAAAGACATGCTAGGCTCCAGTTAAGACAGTTATGATTTATGAAATGAGTTACCATAACAGTGGTAGAAGCCAACACATTGCAGAAGTTTGAGAGGGGAATCAATGACTTCCTGAAAAGTAAAGGATGGGTTTAAATTTTATTTTTATCCAAGAGTGGGTGTGCAAGTATAGCCTCGAAGGACAAAATGTTGGTTATGTTAATAACTGATTTATTTTTCTTTGTAAAATGAGTACTAGGTCTTTCTTGTGATTATATTCATAAATTATTCTTACTACATGCTACTGGTGTGATTCCACAACAACTGATGTGTTACATTATAATACATGGATAAGATTTATTTTTTTGTCATGTTGAAGGTGGCTGTATTAATGAAGAAATACATGTAGGTTTGGATTAAGATTCAATTTTCCCTAAATTGGGTGCGTATGGTTTCAATTTTGATTTCTGTTTAAAGGTAACATGAATCTTGTGTTAAAGATTCTACTGATAGGTAGAATTAAGTTGTACACAAAATAATATTCAAATATCCAATGCTTTTAGACTTTTTTTCATATACTTGGAACAAAACTTATTCTACAATTCCTTTAGATTCAAGAGCTTGAAACAGAGAATGCAAATCTTCGTGGAAAACTTCAGCAGCTGCAGCCAGAACAGAAGCAAAATGGAATTCCAAAAAATAATTCAGAGGTAATAAAGTAGTTTTATTGTTGTTATTAAGGAACTAGCAAATAATGCACCATATGTGATAATACATTACTGCATGACAACAGGTATTGATATATATATATATATCATAACTGGGTCTACATGTAAGATTACCTGCAAGAATATTATGAGATATTATCTCAATCTCAATTATACCTTAGTTCACTTTGATGTTTTAATATATTTGATACTCTAGCACAGATAATGTTTGGCTGGTTCATCCCAAAAAATTACATTTGATAAATCAAGTTGTTATAAGTGGCCTTTCAACCAAGACTTCAGTTTTTTGCACCCAGCTATTCTGTTGAACTCTGATATTTAATGAAATGTTTCATTGAGAGTGTTTCATTCTATCAGCACATACTAGGAAAGTTGTGTGAGAAATTTTTGAAAATATTTTCAGTCATATTATGGTGTTCTATTACACTTAGATATTTCTGGCTGATTGCACAATTACAATTATTAAGCAATGTTTTTAACCTGCAGACTATTGTGTTTTTAAAGCTGAAAAACATTTTTTGTTGCTCATAATTATGAGAAAAAGCTGTTCTTAGCTTGGCATTTTCTAATTAACAAAATCAAGAAGAATGGTACCATTATCAAAATCAAATTTTAAAATGAAACATGATTATGTGCTATAGGTTCTTATTTGTGAAGGGAATTATTTGGGAAACTAAAATTAGACATCCTTCTCTTTTGATTCTCATGTTATACATAAATACTGTTTTCTTTGAAGAATTCAAGTTTCGTCATTGTCAATGAAAAAACAACAAGTAGTCTTGAAGAAAAAACCAAGCCCATACCTCCGTCAATCCAACCCCCTCCTTCTGTGCCTCGAAGAAACATTGAACGTACTTTATCTAAGTCTCAAGTAAGTGTGAATGAAACATATCTCTTAAAATCTAACTTAAGCCCCAATTTTACAGTTTTTTTTCACTTTCTGACACAAAATTTTGGAAAGATACTTGAACATATTTAAACTCTTAGGAAATATATTTCAAAGATATTTGACAACTTATGAATAATTTAAGTTTTGCTCTCAAATATTTATATCTTAGTTAAAACAGGACAAAATAAACAACAGATTATAAACTTCTGAAAAAATGAGAAAGAGTAACATTAAAATAAAGAAATCCATCTACAAAACTATTTCTTTGGTAAAAGAAATAGATATATGGTCTTTTCTTTAATTTTCGAAAGTATGAAAGTAAAA